CAGTTCGTCGAGTTTCAGAGCAAGCTACCGGGTAAGTCAGATCGCTTAAACTTTATATATATTTTTCTACACAAGTAACGCTTTATTTTGCTTCGCATTTTTTAGATTTCGAACCAACTCGTATATAACTCGCGAAGAGAATTAGTTCTGAAACCGTAGCTTGTAACATTTCGTCAATAAACGAAACAATTGCCACTACCATTATCATCACCATCACCATCACCATCACCACCATCATTATCACCACTACCATTATCATCACCATCACCATCATTATTACCACTACATCATATCATCATCTTCATAATCGTCACATCATCATCATCATCATCATATTTTCATCATCATCTGTTCCTTATTGAAAAAAGTTTGAATCACGTTGTGAAAGTAAACTTGAGATGATAAGGTGTTAATTTTTGTGCTCCCCATATTTTACCTACCCAATAACAACATCTTCTTCCTTGAAAGTCTTGACTGGTATTTTATCAGACATTTTCCAGGAATGTGTAGGTGTGCTGGGTGTCTGGATTCGTTTGGGTGACGTCTTCTCTCCTTTTCCTTTGCCTTTTTTCTTCTGTTTTTACAATAAAGAAAGCGTTCAGGTTTCGAACGTCAAGCACCTTGCGTGCAAAGCTGACTGTAATGGTTAAGTATCCACCATCAATCTTCCATCAATCTTTTAAGCGTAGTGAAAAGTATGGCTGGAAATGTCGTTTCGTTGTCAGCTAGTCAAATGCAACACTCACAATAAACCTCTGACCAAAATGACTCCATAATTTTTGAGACAATAGATTTTTTAGTATCAATATTAGCGAAATAATACGTTAAAATAAATAAATAAATAAATAAAATCATCTAAAAAGAACRACTTCAACAGCAGCAACAAAAACGAAGAGAACAACAAACAACAGCATAAAAAAATCTTTTTTTCCAGAAACTTAGTTTTCATGACGATTGTCAGTCGGGGAATGATTTTGCAAACAATTTTAGCGCTGTGAATAGACAACAACATAAAAGCTTTTATTTAAGAAGCCAAATTTAGCAGCCCTGTTTTCTACAGGCAACGTTGAGTCATGCTTCATGACTACGAGAAACAAACCTGATTTGCTGCTGGTTCTGATGGCTTCTCTGTAGGAGAAGCAGCTTCTCGTCTTTTCCTCTCGGCTTCAGCTTCTCGTTCCATGATCTTGACCGCTTCTTTCTTGACGTCTGCTACTTCTAAACGAGGTGTGAACGTCACATGGACAATACATCGCTGTTTGAGTAAGAAAGGATGATGTTATTTGACAGCAACAAGAGAGGTTTTGTGTATGAGAATATATATTTGCATGTGGTTGTAATGTATCAAATTAAGCTGATGCAGCTGCAAATTGAAAGACTCAGAAATTTTTTTGAGTTGAACGGGATTTAAACCCATGGCCTGGCGACTCCTGTGCCATGCCACTAAGCTACCAAGTCTCATATGAGACTTCAAGGGCACATTAGGTGGGTTTATCGACCCGATAGGAGAGATATATGTGTATGAGAATATATGAAATATATATTTGTACTGCGGTTGAGAAGTTTTATCACGGCTTGTGCACTTGATTACAAAAGAATATGAAAGTGAACGGGCGTGGTCTTCTTGGCCCCTTTCCCTCTTTGCTAAAATGAATTTCTCCTAAGAATATTATAGGGAACACTGGAGAACCAGATACGACGTTTGTGTTGTGTCCATCTATCCCTACCTCCTTTTTTTCCGAATAGACCTCTTTAGGGATCAGTCATTATTTAAGTCGGAGGGGAAGGGGAGGGAGGGGAGGGAGGGGAGGGGGTTGAGGAAAAAATGTCTTCGATGCAAAAAAATTTCCATACCCCCCCTAATAGCATTAATTTCTTTCGGGTACGCCCTTCAATAGTTTAAAAAACCCTCCCAATCCTCCTTTCCACTTTCAAGGCCCCCCATGTTCCACTAAAAGCCCCCCTCCCCCCCCCCCCCACGTGTCGTGTCATTCAGTAGAGTATCATTTCTTTGTTTAACATTTGCGCAAAAGGCACAGGAATATGGATGCAATTCAAACATTTTCCAAATTGAAAAAACTTCTCTCCAAAATACTGCTTGGTTACCCCTTACCTCACCAGGGTTGACCACACCCACTAACGGTGACACCGTCAAAGGAGCATCATCAGGCACCACAAACTCGAACGACGTTGGCCCAACATCAACAATAGGTCCAGAACCTATCCGAGGTACGGGGTGAGTGAACTCGTTGGCACTGGTGTGAGAATTAATGACCTCCAGGTGGGACGAGCACGAGTCTCCAACTGCTGTTGCTTTCATCTGGATGACTGAATGAGACAGCTCTAGGGGTGGCAGGACGCCAATGGCACGGCAACGGAGCTTGAACTCACGGCCGATTCCTGATTTACAGGTTAACTGGAATGAGTATTCCTATGAGATAAATGTCTTGTTAGAATAGGATATGAATTTTGCGCACTGTCCGCTTTGTGGGAGACAGTAGAATGCACGGCACGGAGCACTTGACATCCGTTGAACCAATCACAGCGCGAGAAATCAATATCCATCCAATAAGTATACTCAGACACGACACCATCACGTTCACGCACGGAACAAACGATATCCGTTGAACCAATCACAGCGCGCGAAATCAATATCCATCCAATAAGTATACTCAGACACGACAACGTCACGGTCACGCACGGAACAAACGATATCCGTTGAACCAATCACAGTGCGCAAGATTAATTTCCATCCAATAAGAATGATCAGACACGACACCGTCAAGGTCACGGCACGTAGGGTGCGCACCGTTTTTCAGAGTGATGCATAAACTGATGTAGTAAGCAAGTCAAAGTACCTTGGCTTTCTTGGCATTGAACATTATATCTACATCAAAACTCTCCAAGGGAAGTAAGGTGCCAAATCCATCATTGGGTTGGACATCTACCGTCTGTAACAAGAACCAATACACTCATCAAGGATATATCTGCTCAACGTGTCACGCAATTCAGTAAAATAAAAGTTACACTATGAATAAAAATCCATCATTGGGTTGGACATCTACCGTCTGTAACAAGAACCAATACACTCATCAAGGATAAATCTGCTCAACGTGTCACGCAATTCAGTAAAAAATGTTTTACACTATGAATAAAAATCCATGATTGTAACGCAATGCTACTAATACTTTAATCAAACAAACAGTTTGGTATTTGCACTTCCGAGATTAAGAAAAATATTGGGTCGAGTTGGCAATACAGTGCATTGTGGGGCAGTTGTAGGGGGCATATTTCCAAGATGGAGAGTAGTCCGTCCCCTAAACAGTCCCACAATGCACTGGAATGACGACTGGACCGAATATTTTCCTCAACCTCAGAACGGCTAATTGACCTTTTTAGCTTGGGAGTATTGTTTTAGTATTTCACACTACGTGTCATTCCCTAAAGTATCTTTTCTTTGTTTAAGGATTGCGCTCGGTTGCACATGAGAAGACACATGAATATGGATACAACTCAAACTAAGAATCTTATTCTCAAGAGAATGACACGTGTTCTAAAATGGGAAAACATTACGCCCGAGTCGAGGAGGTTTATTTCTTATCGCATCGAATTGAAATGACTGTAATGCAACGGTGTTAATATCATGCGTCACGCAACGCAGTACTTACATCAGGGACTCCACAGAACCCAAATGGTTGGGGCAGTACAGACTTGTTAGTCAGCGTGACAGTGTGTCGTACAGACTCGTGCAAAGTACAGTAACCAAAGTCTAACTCTTGCACGTTGAACTCAATGTCTGATGATGTTACGATGGCTCGCACGGTGAAAGGAACAGCGCGGGTCTGATAAATGAACAGTTAGTATCTCAATAGTAATACCACCCAAAGGGAAGTGTCAAATGGTTTAGCACAAATATCAATTTTAATCGCACCCCTGAAACAATCTCCTGGGCTGATCTAAGTCAGGGCATGGCTAACTCACAGATTAAACCCTGAAACAACCTCTGGGCTGATCTAAGTCAGGGCATGGCTAACTCACAGATAGAACCCTAAAACATCCTCTGGGCTGATCTACGTCAGGGCATGGCTAACTCACAGATAGAACCCTGAAACATCCTCTGGGCTGATCGAAGTCAGGGCATGGCTA